ACCACCTCCAGCAGAACATCCCCCAACACATCCCAAAAGGCGACATAGAACTCAATAGGAAGACCATCCGAACCCGGCACCTTCCCGGAACGAAACGACCGCACCACCACAAGCAGCTCCGCCAAGGAGACCTCTTTCACCAGACCAGCACACTCTGCAACCGACAACCCAGGAAGGCACCGACCCAAGAAATCCTCCACAAGTGCGGCGTCCCCAGCCACCTCCGCATACAGTGCAGCCAACTCCTGCCAAACATAGTGCAACACCCCACCAGTGTCCGAAACAACCGTCCCATCTGGCCGTTGCAAGGCCGTAAAAAGAACAGAGTCCCGCGCGGCCCGTACCTTACTTAAAAGAAATGAAGAAATCCGTTCCCCGTCTACCCTCTCACTTACACGAGCCCTCACACGCACACCCTCCGCCCACTCACTCCGCAACCCGCATATACGCGCCTTGCAGTCCTCAATCTTATCAAAACAATCAACACCAGCATCGTACCTTACATACAACCTCGACAGCTGCGCCTGCAACAACCGCAGCAACCCAAAGCGCCCAGCAGCCTCGCGCTTAGCAACCACGCGAAAAAACAAACGACACTGCACTTTACACCACTCCAAGACAGACAGAAACTCACAATGCCGGGCTCGAATCTCGACCCACCAACACCGAAACTGACGACAAACACGCGGAGAACGCAACAACCCACAGTTTAGCTTCCACCACCCCGCACCGACCCGCACCTGACTGGGTACCCCAACCCGGACCACCACCAAACTGTGGTCGGAGAATGCAACCGGGACAGTGCGAAAATCATACACCGTACATTCCCCGCCATTGACATACACCCTATCGATGCGCGAACGCACCCCACGTGCAGCAAAAGTAAACGACAACCCTCCACCAAAGAGCACAGCAGCGTCTCGGAAACCACATGAACGCACCACCTCCAGCAGCGCACCCGAGACATTCTGCGGACGAGCGCTACAACAATCCCGTGCACTCGTCACACAATTGAAGTCCCCTCCAAAAATCATGCCCCGCGTATCATGGCGCAAGAAAGGAAGAAGCCCCACCCGAAAAAACTCCTCCCTCTCCCGACGATGCGCTGCACCCGAGGTGGCGTACACCGTCAAGAACGGAATCACGACCCCCAAAAACTCCACCCGCACAAACAACACCCGCCCATCCTCGTCCAACTCCGTGTGAAGCACGGAGAAGGAGGCCTTACGAGAGAATAACATAAGGGTCCCCCCGAAAGGCGTCCTCGGCGAGTTGAGCACCACATGATAATGCACGCTTAGACACTGCAACACAGACACATCATGCACATTATGCTCCTGTACGAGAGCCACATCCACACGTTGCTCCTGCAAAAACATCCAACAGGCCCAACTGGACCCCAAGAGCATTCAAACCCCGAACATTCAAGGACGCACAAACTACAGAGGGCGCCATCGGGACAACCTCAGGACACCCCCAACCCGTCGCGACACACAGGCCGCACTTCATCCTGGACCCCAGGGCGATCACAGTGAACACCGCCAGTCACTGTACCCAGCCCCACGGACGAGCCCTCTGCCGGATCCGCAGAGCCCCCACCAACCGGAACAAGGGCCGAAGACCCCCGACAGTTACCCTTAGACAACACGACCACCAGGTCCCTGTCACCGCGATGAGCCACCCACCCAGAGGTGCCACCATCAGGAGTCGCAGGTGCCGTCACTGGAGGCACCACAGAAGAAACCTCCTCGATGTCCTCGCCCGCAACCTCCATCGCAACACCGCCCTCCGCCCACAACCGACGAGGCGATGTATCCTGAGCCGAACGACGGCGCTTCACATGAGGCTGCTGATCGTCGGTACAACGACCCCCAGCAAGGGGTGCTCCAGAAGAACCCGACGCGGGCGGGCCCAAAGCCGAAGCAGCACGGACACACACAGCAGCAACCTCCACAGCATGGAGCCACAGCTTACCACCACGCCCGGAGACCGGAGCAGAAGGAGCAGGTCCAGACAGCGGGAGAGCACACTCCAGCTCACAGGGGGCATCCACCACGGATGCCGAGGCAATCGCAGCTGACGAACCACTGGATAAGGCAACCTTCGTAGACGACGAGGGAGTCGACGCAGAGTCAGAGGGCAGGGAGGAGGACACACACCCCACCACCCCAGCATCCCCGGGCAGCAGACAATCTTCAGCAGGGGAAGCAGGCACCACACCAACAGCAGCAGCCGAGGACCGCACAGAAGCCTCCGGCCGCGGATGCACCTCCGCCACCACCGAACGAGGAACCCCCGAGGCAGGAGCTCCCGTTCCCACAGAGCACACCGGGGAAGCAGACGTACTATGTCCCGACCAAACAGGGACAGAGGGAGCACTTGCTGAACCCGCCGCAGGAACCACACCAGGGGAAGAAGGCGATGAGGAAGCCCCCCGCGTCTCCAAAGGGGGAAAGTCACCCTCCAAGAAAACGGAGGGAGCCTCAGCTCGAGGAGCATCACAGCTCGCTGCCACATGGCCCTCAGCACCACACAGGAAACAAGTGCGAGTCTGTCCCTGATAAAATACTCTGAGCGAGAGCCCACGATACAGAAGATGAGACAGTACCGGTGACGTAATCTTCATACCTAGCGTACGAATGCCCGTACGCAGCCCGCTCAGCCGACCTGTACGCAGATGGTTGAAACGATGAAACTGCACCACTCCATACTTCCCAAACACAACCCGCAGCTCATCCTCAGAGAACGTCACTGGTACACCATGCACACTCACGTACTGCACGGCCCCCCAGGGATCCGAAACTGCCACAGACAGCCGTGTCGGTGACTGGAACCAAGTGGCCGGCCCAACGCGCCACAAACTCCTTGTACAGCGAGCTCCTGCAGAAGGTCATCGCCACTCGAGTAGGGGAAAGCTTTTCCAGCCCTATCAAATCCTGGACATCCGCTCGAAGCACATCGACAACAGCAACTTCCACAATCGCCCAGTCCACATCCCCTGAGAAGTCAACGCACGCCGTGTCCACCCGCCGTACGCGGGACACACCACCAACCACCATACCACCAGCCGGGCCCTCCGGCCAGCGGGCGCACCACACCACAATCCACACCCGCCTCCACTCAACACCAGGCGACAACTGGCAGGTCAAACGAGCACGTCCTGGCCCCCTGGCGGCCAGTGAGCGAATCTCAATATGAAGACATTTCTCGCTACGCGTACTAGTGGCTCTACAACCATGTAACAACTCTTCTATATATCTCAAAAAAAAAAAAAAAAAAAAAGGTGAAAGTCTTTCCCTGCGAGGTCACCCATCCAGTTACTGGCCAGTGCTACATAGTCTCCTCAGCTGGGTTCCTTCTTTTCATAATTACTTGCGTCGAACTATCGGACAATTTGCCCGATAGTTGTTTCTTAAGTGAACCAACTTAAGTGAACTAAGTTCGTTCTTAAGTGAGGTGACAGTAGGGAACATGGGCCCAGATTCACGAAAGTACTTACGCAAGCACTTACGAACGTGTACATCTTTCCTCAATCTTTGACGGCTTTGGTTACATTTATTAAACAGTTTACAAGCATGAAAACTTGCCATTCAACTGTTGTTATTGTTATAAACAGCCTCCTGGTGCTTCGGAGCTCATTAACTGTTTAATAAATGGAAACAAACCCGTCAAAGATTGAGAAAAGATGTACAGGTTCGTAAGTGCTTGTGTAAATATTTTCGTGAATCTGGCCCATGGGATTTATACCATGTTGTTGATTTAGACTCTGCTACTTGGAACAAAGTTTCCATGTAGCATGGGGTATAGCGAGCCCGTAATTAAGTTTGCTTAGTCACGATAACCTTGTTACTGTGATATCTGGGTCAAAGTTTTAAACTAAGGAAGAGTTTCCTTCTTTTTGCATTGATTTAATCTTTTGTTTTAATAACGTTATCTTATTTATAGCAGTGGGAGGTCAAGTCTATACAAGATTAAGTGAGGAGAAAGGCACATGTACGGAGTAAAGGTATATGGGTCACTAAGCTAAACATACAAAGATAAGTCAGGTAATTATAACTTTTTGGGCACAGATATTTCATCAAGGTGAGGTGACTTGATGAAATATCTGTCCCCAGAAAGGTCACAGAGTCCTGTTGGGAACTGGGTTAAGGGTCTTACGTCTTTCAATTCTTTGAACAGTTGTTGTGGCCTAGTGGTGAAAGTATTGGACATGCTAAGGTGCATGGGGTCCTTGGCTGTCTAGGTTCGAATCCTTCTAGGATGAGTAGTTTTCTGTTGCATATTGGCCTGGGGGACCATTCAAGTTCAATCACACACACACACACACACACATATATATATATATATATATATATATATATGTATATATATATGTTATATATATATATATATACTGTATATATATATATATATATATATATATATATATATATATATATATATATATATATATATATATATATATATATATATGTTTGCCCGAAACGCATTGCGTAATAGTGGCTTTAGGCATTGTATGTACTAGCTCTATCTATATATCAATCCATTAATGTAACATCACTTGTATGTATATACCTTACCTGAATAAACATCTGAATCTGAATCTGATATATATATATATATATATATATATATATATATATATATATATATATATATATATATATATATATATATATATCCTGTAACCTTGTTGTTGTAACCTTATATAATATAATGTTTAACAATAATAATAAAAAAAGGGTGGTTGGACAAGTAAATACTCATTCGTATTTGGAGTCAAACAGCAATGTTTCTCTGAATGCTCTTTATTTCCCTCTCCAAGGCTATGGGTCCCTACAGTTGCACCAGAGATGGTACCCCTATATATATATATATATATATATATATATATATATATATATATATATATATATATATATATATATATATATATATATATATATATATATATATATATATATATATATATATATATAATATAATATCAATAATTCAATTCAAGAAGAATCTTGAAAATCAGAAGCAAAGAAATACTATTGAAAGTATGTTTAAAAATTACAGACAATCTACATGTATAAAAAGAGTTGTAGTAAGATAATTATAATCAATATGATTTATACAAAGTTATTATGCATTGTATGACAATCATACACTTCATGCAGGGAAGGGGTTAAATTGTGCTTTAGTATACAGAGCAGATAATTATGCAGTTATATATGTCATAAATCCAATTCAGTTACGATAACAAACAATAAACATTTGCAACATACTGAAAACTAATTAATATCTTTATCACCTGCTCAGTATTTACAATTATTAATAATTTTTGCTCTACTACTGAGTGTTAGATTACCAGAAAATACACATTGTATAGAGATAAAATATTTTCTTTAATAATTCTAATCCTTATAAGCAAGAGTTTATGTGGTCCACATAAAGGCAAACATGACATAGAATTATCATTAAAAGAGATTATCTTAGCTGCTTGGGTCTATGTTATGTACAGTGGGCATATTGAACTAGAGAGATGCTGGCCACACATGCTGGAGATGAAGCCATGGGGATGCTTCACAGCATCTCAGAATAGCAGCATATTAGAATACATCTATCCCTTTTTTACCAACTGTTTGCACTAATAATGATATACAACTAGTCTATGCTCAAGGAAATGTATCAACAATACTCCTATCAGCTGTATTTAAACCTTCTTTAATCTTGTATACCCAGTGCAAACATATCACACTTTATCTTTAGTAACTCCAAGAAAATCCTAAGACTCTCTCATGAATATTTCAAGAATCTTCGAACAATAATTTCACACAACCCGTCCTCGACTCAAGTCCATTCCATCCAGCGGTCGACCCCACAGACCCATTCATAAGTTTTTACATGCTGTTCATTCAAAACAGGAATTTTCTCAAATATAAATTAATATTATAATATATATTTTTTTTTTTATCTGCATATTGTGCATATATCGGCATAGGTTAGGTTAGGTGTTTAGGTTCTGTTGGAGATTATTTGTATTTATAGTACGTGGGTGAAGCATTTACAGCGTTGTGGTTCGAACACAAGTCGTGAGTGAAGCACTTGTTCCGGAAGTGTTCGAATGTCAGCAGTTGTGAGTCGTGTGTAAACCGTTTGTCATTCATAAACAGGGAAACACAGGGCCTGATAGCTGAGTGAACAGCGCTTCGGATTCGTAGTCCTGAGGTTCCGGGTTCGATTCCCGGTGGAGGCGGAAACAAATGGACAAAGTTTGTTTCACCCTGATGCACCTGTTCACCTAGCAGTAAATAGGTACCTGGGAGTTAGACAGCTGCTCCGGGCTTCTTCCTGGGGGGTGTGAAACAAAAAGAAGGCCTGGTCGAGGACCGGGCCGCGGGGACGCTAAGCCCCGAAATCATCTCAAGATAACCTCAAGAAGGGGGTTTGGCGAGTGCATGGAATTACTTTTGGGTCTTTGTTTGGAGGACGGGCTGTTAACCCGCACCCCCCCCCCCTCCCCTTCCCCTACAAAATTCCAAGATTCACCCAAAAATATTTCCAAGAATCTCCCAAGAAAATGCCAAGACTCTCCCAAGGACATGCCAAAACTTTCCCAAGAATTTGCCAAGACTCTCACTCTAAAGAACACCAACCAACATGCGGTCTAGTCACCTATGCTTTAACCCCCCCCCACCCTCCCCCCCAAAAAAATTGTTGACCACACCCTCCAAAAAAAAATTGTTGGGGTTCGTGCTCACTTCATATATTAACCTTTTAGGGACATGTAGTAAGTTCCCCCCCATACACACTGTATAGTTTAGAAAATCTACCTTCAACACGGTGACTTGCTCACTTATACGTCACATTAATGGGATTTCTTTGTGCATTTGAAGAGAAGCATTGGAGGTAGAGTTCCTAGACTACAATGCCAGAGTGCATGATGGGTTACGACCACTTGGGGGGGGGGGTGAGTGCCGACGTGTAGGAGGTAACCTGTAGACTTGTTGACTTGATACAAGTCGACAAGTCTCACTCTCCACATCACTACCACAACAACCACCACCACCACCATCACTCCTTCACCACACTCTCCACTACCACCACCACCACTCTCCACACTCTCCATACCTACGGAATCTTTATGGTGAAGAGTTGTTTGAAATACTCTGCCTCTCATGGGCTCCAATGTCCTGCGCGACCTATGGGCTCCAATACACTGTGCAGCATTCGCGCTCCAGTATACTCTGTGGCCTACGGGCTCCAGTATACTCTGTAGTCTACGGGCTCCAGTATACTCTGTGGACTACGGGCTCCAGTATATTCTGTGGTCTACGGGCTCCAGTATATTCTGTGGACTACGGGCTCCAGTATACTGTGTGGTCTACGGGCTCCAATACTCCGGCCTTCCAAAGGCACCATTGACTGATATTCACCATCGTGTAGATATGATTCAAAGCAGAAGAATATATTCCATGATGGGGTTATATACCTTAAACATTGGTATAATAGATCATTAGGTAAACAACCGATGGATAAGAAGTCATACATAAATAGATGCTCCTCAAATGCCTGACGCCATCTTCTTGAGGTTATCTTGAGATGATTTCGGGGCTTTAGTGTCCCCGCGGCCCGATCCTCGACCAGGCCTCCACCCCCAGGAAGCAGCCCGTGACAGCTGACTAACACCCAGGTACCTATTTTACTGCTAGGTAACAGGGGCATAGGGTGAAAGAAACTCTGCCTATTGTTTCTCGCCTGGGATCGAATCCAGGACCACAGGATCACAAGTCCAGCGTGCTGTCCGCTCGGCCATCCGCGAGTTTACAACACAATCAACATGAGAGTGGAAATTGAACGCGAATATTTGGCGATATATTTTGTTGAACAATCAGTATACATCTTCCAAGATAGATACAATGACAATACTGGACCTGAAACACAACATGAAGGTAACACAGTGTTACACTGTTGTACCATCTGGCCAGCAAGTTATTTAGGCACAATTAAAAGGAATTTTGAATGTTTTGTTTGAACAAAGAATGATAATGGCTTTGTGTTTTGTGGCTTTTCAGGCGCCTGTCTGGCGGGAGTTGACTTACACTATATTATTATTATTATTATTATTATTATTATTATTATTATTATTATTATTATTAGCAGCCACATGTTCTCCAGTGCCCAGCACATGTTCTCCTGTGCCCAGCACGTGTTCTCCTGTGCCCAGCACATGTTCTATTGTGCCCAGCACATGTTCTCCAGTGCCCAGCACATGTTCTCCAGTGCCTGCCAAATGTTCTCCTGTGCCCAGCACATGTTCTCCAGTGCCCAGCACATGTTCTCCAGTGCCTGCCAAATGTTCTCCTGTGCCCAGCACATGTTCTCCAGTGCCCAGCACATGTTCTCTTGTGCCCAGCACATGTTCTCCAGTGCCTGCCAAATGTTCTCCTGTGCCCAGCGCATGTTCTATTGTGCCCAGCACATGTTCTTCAGTGCCCAGCACATGTTCTCCTGTGCCCAGCACATGTTCTCCTGTGCCCAGCACATGTTCTCCTGTGCTCAGCACATGTTCTCCAGTGCCCAGCATATGTTCTTCTGTGCCCAGCACATGTTCTCCAGTGCCCAGCACGTGTTCTCCAGTGCCCAGCATATGTTCTGTGCCCAGCACATGTTCTCCAGTGCCCAGCACATGTTCTCCAGTGCCCAGCACATGTTCTCCAGTGCCCAGCACGTGTTCTCCAGTGCCCAGCACATGTTCTCCAGTGCCCAGCACATGTTCTCCAGTGCCCAGCACATGTTCTCCAGTGCCCAGCACATGTTCTCTTGTGCCCAGCACATGTTCTCCAGTGCCCAGCACATGTTCTCCTATGCCCAGCACATGTTCTCCTATGCCCAGCACATGTTCTCCTGTGCCCAGCACATGTTCTCCAGTGCCCAGCACATGTTCTCCAGTGCCCAGCACATGTTCTCCAGTGCCCAGCACATGTTCTCTTGTGCCCAGCACATGTTTTCTTCTGCCCAGCACATGTTCTCTTGTGCCCAGCACATGTTCTCCAGTGCCCAGCACATGTTCTCCAGTGCCCAGCACATGTTCTCCAGTGCCCAGCACATGTTCTCCAGTACCCAGCACATGTTCTCCAGTGCCCAGCACATGTTCTCCTGTGCCCAGCACATGTTCTCCAGTGCCCAGCACATGTTCTCCAGTGCCCAGCACATGTTCACAGTGCCCAGCACGTGTTCTCCAGTGCCCAGCACATGTTCACCAGTGCCCAGCACATGTTCTCCAGTGTTCATCAAACACGTGCTCACTACAATAACACAAGACAGTGCTATACTAACACAGGGATTAAAGACTCGTCAAATGCGTCACATATAATAGTAAGGAACTGTAAGTTACAGTAAGGAACTGTAAGTTACAGTAAGAAACTGTAAGTTACAGTAAGGAACTGTAAGTTACAGTAAGGAACTGTAAGTTACAGTAAGGAACTGTAAGTTACAGTAAGAAACTGTAAGTTACAGTAAGGAACTGTAAGTTACAGTAAGGAACTGCAAGTTACAGTAAGGAACTGTAAGTTACAGTAAGAAACTGTAAGTTACAGTAAGAAACTGTAAGTTACAGTAAGGAACTGTAAGTTACAGTAAGAAACTGTAAGTTACAGTAAGGAACTGTAAGTTAAAGTAAGAAACTGTAAGTTACAGTAAGGAACTGTAAGTTACAGTAAGGAACTGTAAGTTACAGTAAGGAACTGTAAGTTACAGTAAGGAACTGTAAGTTACAGTAAGGAACTGTAAGTTACAGTAAGGAACTGTAAGTTACAGTAAGGAACTGTAAGTTACAGTAAGAAACTGTAAGTTACAGTAAGGAACTGTAAGTTACAGTAAGAAACTGTAAGTTACAGTAAGGAACTGTAAGTTAAAGTAAGAAACTGTAAGTTACAGTAAGAAACTGTAAGTTACAGTAAGGAACTGTAAGTTAAAGTAAGAAACTGTAAGTTACAGTAAGAAACTGTAAGTTACAGTAAGGAACTGTAAGTTAAAGTAAGAAACTGTAAGTTACAGTAAGAAACTGTAAGTTACAGTAAGGAACTGTAAGTTAAAGTAAGAAACTGTAAGTTACAGTAAGGAACTGTAAGTTACAGTAAGGAACTGTAAGTTACAGTAAGGAACTGTAAGTTAAAGTAAGAAACTGTAAGTTACAGTAAGAAACTGTAAGTTAAAGTAAGAAACTGTAAGTTAAAGTAAGAAACTGTAAGTTACAGTAAGGAACTGTAAGTTAAAGTAAGAAACTGTAAGTTACAGTAAGAAACTGTAAGTTACAGTAAGGAACTGTAAGTTAAAGTAAGAAACTGTAAGTTACAGTAAGAAACTGTAAGTTACAGTAAGGAACTGTAAGTTAAAGTAAGAAACTGTAAGTTACAGTAAGAAACTGTAAGTTACAGTAAGGAACTGTAAGTTACAGTAAGGAACTGTAAGTTACAGTAAGGAACTGTAAGTTACAGTAAGGAACTGTAAGTTACAGTAAGGAACTGTAAGTTAAAGTAAGAAACTGTAAGTTACAGTAAGAAACTGTAAGTTACAGTAAGGAACTGTAAGTTAAAGTAAGAAACTGTAAGTTACAGTAAGGAACTGTAAGTTACAGTAAGGAACTGTAAGTTACAGTAAGAAACTGTAAGTTACAGTAAGGAACTGTAAGTTACAGTAAGAAACTGTAAGTTACAGTAAGGAACTGTAAGTTACAGTAAGAAACTGTAAGTTACAGTAAGGAACTGTAAGTTACAGTAAGGAACTGTAAGTTACAGTAAGAAACTGTAAGTTACAGTAAGGAACTGTAAGTTACAGTAAGGAACTGTAAGTTACAGTAAGGAACTGTAAGTTACAGTAAGGAACTGTAAGTTACAGTAAGGAACTGTAAGTTACAGTAAGGAACTGCAAGTTACAGTAAGGAACTGTAAGTTACAGTAAGAAACTGCAAGTTACAGTAAGGAACTGTAAGTTACAGTAAGAAACTGTAAGTTACAGTAAGGAACTGTAAGTTACAGTAAGGAACTGCAAGTTACAGTAAGGAACTGTAAGTTACAGTAAGAAACTGTAAGTTACAGTAAGAAACTGTAAGTTACAGTAAGAAACTGTAAGTTACAGCGAGAGTCTCTGTTGTGCTGCTCTCAGCTCCTCTACACCTTTATTACCTCATATTCTGAGTACAACTGCTGAGTGAAAGTGCTGAATGAAAGTGCTGAATGAAAGTGCTAAATGCAATTGTTGAATGCCTCTGCTGAGGGCCATTGCTGAGTGCAACTTCTGAATTCAAGTACCGAGTGCAACTGCTAATTGAAAGTGCTGAGTGCATCTGGTGGATGAAACCTCTGAGTACAACTGCTGAATGAAATTACTGAATGCGACAGCCTAATGCAATTGCTAAGTGCAAGCCTAAGTGTAGTGCCACAACCACCACACACTAGCACACTAGTGCCACAACCACCACACACTAGCACACTAGTGCCACAACCACCACACACTAGTGCCACAACCACCACACACTAGCACACTAGTGTCACAACCACCACACACTAGCACACTAGTGCCACAACCACCACACACTAGCACACTAGTGCCACAACCACCACACACTAGCACACTAGTGTCACAACCACCACACACTAGCACACTAGTGCCACAACCACCACACACTAGCACACCAGTGCCACAACCACCACACACTAGCACACTAGTGCCACAACCACCACACACTAGCACACTAGTGCCACAACCACCACACAATAGTGCCACAACCACCACACACTAGCACACTAGTGTCACAACCACCACACACTAGCACACTAGTGCCACAACCACCACACACTAGTGCCACAACCACCACACACTAGCACACTAGTGTCACAACCACCACACACTAGCACACTAGTGCCACAACCACCACACACTAGTGCCACAACCACCACACACTTGCACACTAGTGTCACAACCACCACAAACTAGCACACTAGTGCCACAACCACCACACACTAGTGCCACAACCACCACACACTAGCACACTAGTGTCACAACCACCACACACTAGCACACTAGTGCCACAACCACCACACACTAGTGCCACAACCACCACACACTAGCACACTAGTGCCACAACCACCACACACTAGCACACTAGTGCCACAACCACCACACACTAGCACACTAGTGCCACAACCACCACACACTAGCACACTAGTGCCACAACCACCACACACTAGCACACTAATGCCACAACCACCACACACTAGCACACTAGTGCCACAACCACCACACACTAGCACACTAGTGCCACAACCACCACACACTAGCACACTAGTGTCACAACCACCACACACTAGCACACTAGTGCCACAACCACCACACACTAGTGTCACAACCACCACACACTAGCACACTAGTGCCACAACCACCACACACTAGCACACTAGTGCCACAACCACCACACACTAGCACACCAGTGCCACAACCACCACACACTAGCACACTAGTGCCACAACCACCACACACTAGCACACCAGTGCCACAACCACCACACACTAGCACACTAGTGCCACAACCACCACACACTAGCACACTAGTGCCACAACCACCACACACTAGCACACTAGTGCCACAACCACCACACACTAGCACACTAGTGCCACAACCACCACACACTAGCACACTAGTGCCACAACCACCACACACTAGCACACTAGTGCCACAACCACCACACACTAGTGCCACAACCACCACACACTAGCACACTAGTGCCACAACCACCACACACCAGCGCCACAACCACCACACACTAGCACACTAGTGCCACAACCACCACACACTAGCACACTAGTGCCACAACCACCACACACTAGCACACTAGTGCCACAACCACCACACACTAGCACACTAGTGCCACAACCACCACACACTAGCACACTAGTGTCACAACCACCACACACTAGCACACTAGTGTCACAACCACCACACACCAGCACACCAGTGCCACAACCACCACACACTAGCACACTAGTGCCACAACCACCACACACTAGTGCCACAACCACCACACACTAGCACACTAGTGTCACAACCACCACACACTAGCACACTAGTGCCACAACCACCACACACTAGCACACTAGTGCCACAACCACCACACACTAGCACACTAGTGCCACAACCACCACACACTAGCACACTAGTGCCACAACCACCACACACTAGCACACTAGTGCCACAACCACCACACACTAGCACACTAGTATTGACAGCAAAGTTCTGCTAGTTTCATTAGAAAGTTTCATTGAATTTATGACACGTTCTGATGAAGCATAACAGTTTCACATTGTCGTAGGCCTACCCACAACACTAAAAATGAGCCGCTGAATCATACATTGCTGTTAATAAATGTATACAATAAGTATACAATAAATACAACAAGAGTAATTAAATAATTATACACTATACAAACTTGGAACACTTGTGTTACTTTATCAGATATAAACGAAACCTTGAGAGTTAATTATGCTAAGATGAGGAAAGTTGTATAGGCTTTGTAAGTGGGTATTTAAGTGCTTGATGATGTATAGGCTTTGTAAGTGGGTATTTAAGTGCTTGAAGATGTACAGACTTTGTAAGTGGGTATTTAAGTGCTTGAAGATGTACAGACTTTGTAAGTGGGTATTTAAGTGCTTGATGATGTACAGACTTTGTAAGTGGGTATTTAAGTGCTTGATGATGTACAGGCTTTGTAAGTGGGTATTTAAGTGCTTGATGATGTACAGACTTTGTAAGTGGGTATTTAAGTGCTTGATGATGTACAGACTTTGTAAGTGGGTATTTAAGTGCTTGATGATGTACAGACTTTGTAAGTGGGTATTTAAGTGCTTGATGATGTACAGACTTTGTAAGTGGGTATTTAAGTGCTTGATGATGTACAGACTTTGTAAGTGGGTATTTAAGTGCTTGATGATGTACAGGCTTTGTAAGTGGGTATTTAAGTGCTTGATGATGTACAGACTTTGTAAGTGGGTATTTAAGTGCTTGATGATGTACAGGCTTTGTAAGTGGGTATTTAAGTGCTTGATGATGTATAGGCTTTGCAATTGGGTATTTAAGTGCTTGAAGATGTACAGACTTTGTAAGTGGGTATTTAAGTGCTTGATGATGTACAGGCTTTGTAAGTGGGTATTTAAGTGCTTGATGATGTACAGACTTTGTAAGTAGGTATTTAAGTGCTTGATGTACAGGCTTTGTATGTGGGTATTTAAGTGCTTGATGGTGTACAGGCTTTGTAAGTGGGTACTTAAGTGCTTGACGATGTACAGGCTTTGTAAGTGGGTATTTAAGTGCGCGATGAATCCTGACTCTGGATAACTTTCAACGAGCAGAATAAGAAATGACTATATTATGAATGTGAAGTTGCCATAGAATAGTGTTGCAAGCTCTTAGTCATTTACATTTTCAAGTCAGCAATCTTGAGGTCATCTTAACTGCTCAGCGTTAAGATGGCAGTCTTCCTTGATATGAGAATATATTGGGGGGCTGTATAATGGGCTCGAACCTGCGTCTCTGGACTACCCAGGCACATACACACAAGGAATATCACGTTCCTGTGAGTTTTCTTCCTTGACAGGTCCAGGAGACACTAAGAAAACATCTGACGGCAAAATTCTTTGCCTTAGTGTTAATGTCAGTTAATATAAAGTTAATATTAACTACACAACACTTTGCAGACGATGAGTCACAATAACGGGGCTGAAGAAATGATGTGGAACTGCAATTTAGCAGATGAAGAGGCGACGACGTCTCGGTGTGTCGTGGACCTGTCGTGGACCTGTCGTGGACCTGTCGTGGCCCTGTCGTGGCCCTGTCGTGAACCTGTCGTGGACCTGTCGTGAACCTGTCGCGGACCTGTCGTGGACTTGTCGTGGACCTGTCTTGGACTAGTTGTGGACCTGTCGTGGACCTGTCGTAGACCTGTCGTGAACCTGTCGTGGACCTGTCGTGGCCCTGTCGTGGCCCTGTCGTGAACCTGTCGTGAACCTGTCGTGAACCTGTCGTGGACCTGTCGTGAACCTGTCGTGAACCTGTCGTGAACCTGTCGTGAACCTGTCGTGGACCAGTCGTGGACCTGTCGTGAACCTGTCGTGGACCTGTCGTGGCCCTGTCGTGAACCTGTCGTGAACCTGTCGTGAACCTGTCGTGGACCTGTCGTGGACCTGTCGTGAACCTGTCGTGGACCTGTCGTGGACCTGTCGTGAACCTGTCGTGGACCTGTCGTGGACCTGTCGTGAACCTGTCGTGGAGAATCACCAAGTGGTGCAGGTGAGCTTGCTGGCCTGCACTCTAGTCGTTGCATCACTAGCAACACCAGTCACCGTCTAGGAGGCCTGGTCACCAGTCTAGGCCTGGTCGAGGACCGGGCCGCGGGGACGCTAAGCCCCTAAATCATCTCAAGATAACCTCAAGATCTCAAGATAATCGTGCACTCAACATCTTGTACAATGATGCTGGTCTAGTTATCATCATACAATAGTATAATGAACAAAATGTAAACTGTAAAATCTGTTCACTTGAAGATCTGATCTCACTTTAGATGAACACGGAATAGGACCCCTGGATAGGACCCCTGGATTGAACTATTGGATAGGACCCCTGGATAGAACCCCTGGATTGAACTATTGGATAGGACCCCTGGATAGAACCCCTGGATTGAACTATTGGATAGGACCCCTGGATAGAACCCCTGGATTGAACTATTGGATAGGACCCCTGGATTGAACTATTGGATAGGACCCCTGGATAGAACCCGTGGATTGAACTATTGGATAGGACCCCTGGATAGAACCACTGGATTGAACTATAGGATAGGACCCCCTGGATAGAACCCCTGGATTGAACTATTGGATAGGACCCCCCTGGATAGAACCACTGGATTGAACTATTGGATAGGACCCCCCTGGATAGAACCACTGGATTGAACTATTGGATAGGACCCCTGGATAGAACCACTGGATTGAACTATTGGATAGGACCCCTGGATAGAACCCCTGGATTGAACTATTGGATAGGACCCCCCTGGATAGAACCACTGGATTGAACTATTGGATAGGACCCCCCTGGATAGAACCACTGGATTGAACTATTGGATAGGACCCCTGGATAGAACCACTGGATTGAACTATTGGATAGGACCCCTGGATAGAACCACTGGATTGAACTATTGGATAGGACCCCCCTGGATAGAACCACTGGATTGAACTATTGGATAGGACCCCTGGATAGAACCACTGGATTGAACTATTGGATAGGACCCCTGGATAGAACCACTGGATTGAACTATTGGATAGGACCCCCCTGGATAGAACCACTGGATTGAACTATTGGATAGGACCCCCCTGGATAGAACCACTGGATTGAACTATTGGATAGGACCCCTGGATAGAACCACTCGATTGAACTATTGGATAGAACCCCTGGATTGAACTATTGGATAGAACCCCTGGATTGAACTATTGGATAGAACCCCTGGATTGAACTATTGGATAGAACCCCTGGATTGAACTATTGGATAGGACCACCTGACAGGACTACTGAATATAACCAGCGGGTGGGACAACTGGAAAGGCCTACCGGATAGGCCTACTAAATAGGCCTACCGGATAGGCCCCACCGGAAGACCCAAGTCAAACCTCTACGTCAAAAGACTCGCTTCTCTATTTATAGTTGATAAAGAAATTTGTAACGAAGCTTATTAATTAAATAAAGCTTCCTGTATAGAGACTAATAATTGAAGAGAATGCACTAATGTGAACCTAATTTAGTAGCAATGGAAATATTATTATCAAGGTGCAAGAAAGACCTAATTTATGTGTAAGTTTATTAAAAATAAAACACGAATGCAAAATACATCCTTTCTGAAGGTGTTGTATATGGTGTCCATTGGAATACAGCACTGGAACATTGTATTATATACAGTACCTTGAGAAAGGTATGTAGGTTACATCCGCAAATTAGTTTTTTTTTAATACACTTACACATATATTGGGTGTTGTATTCACCTTCATTCAAGCACTACTGCATTGTTGTTGTTGTAAGTTTACAACTTACAACTTATTGTTTGTTGTTGTAAGTAAGTTTACAACTCACAACTTATTGTTTGTTGCTGTAAGTAATTTGTATATTAAAATCCAGCCAATCCTCACACTACACACATGGGATAACTGCAGTATTTTATTTAAAGCCATAATGGCATGAAAAACAAATATTTATAGTCTATTCAGCGATATACTCATTCAGATATTTTCATTCCATTATCACATTACAGAACCATGTGTTGTCGTCAACCTGTCCTCTTAAAAAGAACGTTACTTTTGGCCGTTTGCCCGTATGGCCGAATTTGAAAAAAATTTAAATAAATTTGGGATTTTTTTCAACAACAGTAAGTTAAGGGTCCTCTGATAGGTTAGGTGGGCAGGAAATTCTCATAAAGTTT